ATGTGACCTTGATGTGTCTCGATGTGACTCGAGTGTCTCGATGTGACCTTGATGTGTCTCGATGTGTCTCGATGTGACTCGATGTGTCTCGATGTACCTTGATGTGACTCGATGTGACTCGATGTTACCTTGATGTGTCTCGATGTGACCTTGATGTGTCTCGATGTGACTCGATGTGACCTTGATGTACCTTGATGTGTCTCGATGTGTCTCGATGTGGCCTTGATGTGTCTCGATGTGACCTTGATGTGTCTCGATGTGTCTCGATGTGGCCTTGATGTGGTCTCGATGTGACCTTGATGTGTCTCGATGTGTCTCGATGTGGCCTTGATGTGACCTTGATGTGTCTCGATGTGTCTCGATGTGACCTTGATGTGTCTCGATGTGTCTCGATGTGACCTTGATGTGACCTTGATGTGACTCGATGTGTCTCGATGTGACTCGATGTGACCTTGATGTGTCTCGATGTGACCTTGATGTGACTCGATGTGACCTTGAGTGTCTCGATGTGACCTTGATGTGACTAGATGTGACCTTGATGTGATTCGATGTGACTCGATGTGACTCGATGTGACCCAATGTGACTTGATGTGACTCGATGTGACTCGATGTGACCCAATGTGACCTTGATGTGTCTCGATGTGAGTCGATGTGACCTTGATGACTCAATGTGACTCAATGTGACCTAATGTGACCTTGATGTGACTCGATGACTCGATGTGACCTAATGTGACCTTGATGTGACTAGATGTGACCTTGATGTGATTCGATGTGACCTTGATGTGTCTCGATGTGACCTTGATGTGACTAGATGTGACCTTGATGTGATTCGATGTGACTCGATGTGACCTTGATGTGACTCAATGTGACTCAATGTGACTCAATTGACCTAATGTGACCTTGATGTGACTCGATGTGACTCGATGTGACCTAATGTGACCTTGATGTGACTCGATGTGACCTTGATGTGACCCGATGTGACCTTGATGTGACTCAATGTGACTCAATGTGACCTAATGTGACCTTGATGTGACTCGATGTGACTCGATGTGACCTAATGTGACCTTGATGTGACTCAATGTGACTCGATGTGACCCAATGTGACCTTGATTGATCGATGGATGTGACCTTGATGTGACCTTGATGTGACTCGATGTGACTCGATGGACCTAATGTGACCTTGATGTGACTCGATGTGACCTTGATGTGACCCGATGTGACCTTGATGTGACTCAATGTGACTCAATGTGACCTAATGTGACCTTGATGTGACTCGATGTGACTCGATGTGACCCAATGTGACCTTGATGTGACTCGATGTGCTCGATGTGACCCAATGTGACCTTGATGTGAACTCAATGTGACTCAATGTGACCTAATGTGACCTTGATGTGACTCGATGTGACTCGATGTGACCCATGTGACCTTGATGTGACTCGATGTGACCTTGATGTGACCTTGATGTGTCTCGACATGTCTCAGTCAGAGGTGTGAGCGACTTACTAAGTGTCTCCATCTGAGGTCCACTGGTTCCAGTTAAACCAGTTAAAGTTCTCCATAAGTGCTGGGAGTCAGAATCAGCTGACAGTTCAGTTCAGCCACAATGACGCCCATTGGGAGGCATTCACACTTCCTGTTTCCTGTCCAAACAAACTCTGCGACTCGTTTCATCGTTTAGGACGATGAGTGACGTTCCCTGAGGACGCCGCTGTCGTCTCCCTCTGCGAGTACTCCGCTTCCTCCTTTTGGGGTGGGAGGAGTTATCTGACTTGCTTCGGCTAAACTCCGCCCCCGATGGGCCCAGTAACTTGGTGCTTGGGCGAGCCAGGAAGTGCAGCAGAGCAGCGTCTTGAGGAAGCTCGGCGCATCTCGTTGCTCGTCAGCGTGTAGATGAGCGGGTTCATGGCCGAGTTCAGGACGGCGAGCGCCAGGAACCACTCCGCCTTGTAGAGGATGGGGCAGGTCAGCGTCTCGCAGGCGGCGTCCAGCAGCAGGAGGACAAAGAGCGGCGCCCAGCAGGCGATGAAGCAGCTCAGAACGATGATGACCGTCTTCAAGAGTGCCATCGACTTCTCCGAGCTCTTGATGTTGGCGCCGCATTCCCGCGACCGTTGGTGACTTTGCGGAAGACGAGCTTGCGGCTGCGCGTGCGACGAGGCGTAGATCCTGGCGTAGAGAACCACGATGGCCATTAGGATGATGCTGAAGACAGTGGTGCAGAACAGGATGTAGGTCTTGTGGTAGAGCGGCAGCACCGGTGGAGCACGCCGTCATGCTCTCGATGCAGTTTCCAGCCCATGACGGGCAGACCGCCCAGCACGGCGGCGATCATCCACACCGTGCTGATGAGCAGGAAGACGCGGAACGTGTTCCCGTTGTTGTGCAGCTTCATCTTCAGCATGGTCAGGTGGCGCTCGATGGCATGGCCAGTAAACTGAAGACGGACGCCGCCAACGCCACAAACATGCTGCCCTCCCTGAAGAACCACTGCGTGGGCGTCAGCTTGTACGTGTTGGCGCCCGACAGCAGGATGTTGGCGTGTAGACGCCGCCCGCCAGCAGGTCGGACAGCGCCAGGTTCCCGATGAAGTAGTACATGGGTTTGTGGAACTTCTTGGTCCTCCAGATGGTGGTGAGGACCAGGATGTTCTCCAGGATGATGAAGCAGCACACGATGATGAAGACCACGGAGTCGGCCTTCAGACCCGAGTCCGACGCCGTCTTACGGAACTTCCCCGTGTAGTTGTAGTGTTTGGCGATCAGGTCGGAGGAGCTGGAGTCAGCCATGGCCTGCAGCGGCAGCACGAGACCAGCAGGGGGCACTGCGTCCTCAGATTCAGTCCTTCATGTTAGGCCGTAACCATGAAGAGGAGGAGCGAGGGGCGAGGAGCGGGGGGGCATGGTCCTGCAGAGAGAGAGACTACAGTCACACACGGAGAACAGGAAACCCACAAAACACACAAAAACACTGAGATCAGCTCCACGCACAAACTTTAAACTCCTCACAATCTCACAGACATTATATAAAATATATCCCGAGTTCTAATCAGCTGGTATGATGATCAGAGGTGAAGCAGACTGAACTCTAAGAGTCAAACTTTATCTATGTCCCTCCTTACACATCTTTACCTGCAGCTGTGATAAGTGACCTCTGACCTCCTGCCTGTGACCACAGATCAACATTAAGATTGACTTTATTGATCCCCGCAAGGGGAAATTTCTGTTTCTACACTCAGTAAGTCATGAACACACACAAAATACACACACATGCAGAAACAGGATCCTCTGGACATGCACTAATGGAGAGATGTCAGGGTGATGGAGCGGCCCACAGCGGGCGCTCCTGAGCTGATGGTGGGGAGGGGGTTTGGTGCCTTGCTCAAGGGCACCTCGGCAGTGCTCAGACACCTCTCCAGCTACCAGACCAACTTCCATATTTGGTCTGCACCAGGACTTGAACCAGCAACCCTCTGGTTCCAAAGCCAAGTCCCTACAGACTGAGATACTGCCGCCCAATGAACAAACTTTAAACACGTCTGATGTGAAATCAGGTCTCACATGTGCAGAGTGATGAGGACAGACGGAGGAGAACATTTAATGATTCAACACGCAGAGGAGCGACTTTAAAACACTTTAAACACGTTTTAAAAAGAGGCACTGTTCCTTTAAATCTCCGATAAGAAACATAATGAAGCCGGTCCTCCGGCTGCTGCGTCAGTTTGTCCGTCTTTGATTTAGTCGATTATTTTATTGGCCGATCACTCGACATTTTCTCCAAAGTGACGTCACGTCAGTGTTTAAAAGTTTAAAAACGTTAAAGTGACTGTGACGTGTTTTTTTTCATCTCCGTTAAAAACCGGATTGATTCCGTTACAGTGACCCGGGTCCGGCTGAGCGCGGCTCCGCGTCGTCCCCCTCCTCCATCAGTCCAACATTTAAACTTTGTTTGATTCAGAGTTAGAGACCCTCAGAGTCTCTGCAGACCCTCAGAGTCTCTGCAGACCCTCAAACCTCAGCTCACAAAAGATGAAAATAAGAAAGAAAAGAGTTTTTACCTTCAGTCAGAGTCCGGAGCGAGACACAGCAGCAGCCCGACAGAGAGGAGCGCGACGGAGACACACACACACACACACACACACACACACACACACACACACACACACACACACACACACACTGATGATGATGATGATGAAGGCGCTGCCCTCCTCCTCCTCTCCTCTTTGTTTTTTCGCTCTTCAGATCGATAATGGTTTAGTTTATTTTCTTTGTGTTGACTCTCTTCTCCTTTTCAAAAACACAAACTAAATAAAACAGGAAAAGTGAGACACAGCAGGAGCAGAAAGATTTCACAACAATAAAAGAATCATGAAGAGGAGTTACTGAAAGACTGCAGAGTACAAACAGATCCTTTTATCAAAATAATCATGATAAAAGGAGTCTACGATTAGAAAGAAGAAATATATATATATTATATTAACTCTATTTCTCCCGTGTGGGAAATAAACAGCTGAACCCCCTACACACACACACACACACACACACACACACACACACACAAACACACACACACACACACACACACACACACACACACACACACACACACACACACACACAACACACACACACACACACACACACACACAGACACACACAGACACACACACACACACACACACACACACACACACACACACCACACACACACACACACACACAAACACACACACACAACACACACACACACACAGACACACACAGACACACACACACACACACACACACACACACACACACACACACACACACACACACACACACACACACACAGACACACACAGACACACACACTGCCCCCCCCCATATTGAGTCCAGCTCTGAGTCACTGACCTCTGACCCCTATCACCTCGATGAGGTCAGCGGGGGTGGAGCCAGATGGAGCCCCTCCTCCTCCTGCCCCCTATAACTGCAGGTGGATGCTACAATTAAAACCAAAGAAGAAGAGCTGGACGGATGATGGTCAGCATGTTGCTTCTCTGGAGTCAGGAGTGACCATGAGGGATTAGAGGGTGTGGTCTCCCTCCTCTCCAAAGACGGTCACTTCTGGCCAAGTTATCAAAGAGCATTACAAAAAAGGCTTATTTTTTTCTGGGACAGCGTAATATCGGCGTCCCAGTCTGTGAGGTGAAATTATGTTTCTGCCACATACACACACGGTCAGACATGCACACACACACACACACACACACACACACACACACACACACACACACACACACAGCGCTGTTCTCCGCTGCTGGATCAGCTGGTCCTGTCTCTCCACTGTAACGCCTGTGAAGATGCTACAGGGTGGGGGTCACCTCGTCTCCCCATTACACCTCCACGACATTGAGTCCAGGTTTGCTTCGCACAGACTCAGATTAGCTGCTAATTGTTGCTAACATGTAAATAAAATAAAGTTCTAATGTGACTGGTTGTAAAAAGTGGTGACTTGTTGGACTGTCTGCTCACAGAGACATATTTAACATGGAGCTCTATGAGGACTGACTCACTGCAGGAGACAGACTCTAGTGGACACTGGAGGAACTGCAGCTGTAAAGTTAGACATTTTAACATGGAGCTCTATGAGGACTGACTCACTGCAGGAGACAGACTCTAGTGGACACTGGAGGAACTGCAGCTGTAAAGTTAGACATTTTAACATGGGGCTCTATGGGGACTGACTCACTGCAGGAGACAGACTCTAGTGGACACTGGAGGAACTGCAGCTGTAAAGTTAGACATTTTAACATGGAGCTCTATGAGGACTGACTCACTGCAGGAGACAGACTCTAGTGGACACTGGAGGAACTGCAGCTGTAAAGTTAGACATTTTAACATGGGGCTCTATGGGGACTGACTCACTGCAGGAGACAGACTCTAGTGGACACTGGAGGAACTGCAGCTGTAAAGTTAGACATTTTAACATGGAGCTCTATGGGACTGACTCACTGCAGGAGACAGACTCTAGTGGACACTGGAGGAACTGCAGCTGTAAAGTTAACATTTTAACATAGAGCTCTATGGGGACTGACTCACTGCAGGAGACAGACTCTAGTGGACACTGGAGGAACTGCAGCTGTAAAGTTAGACATTTTAACATGGGGCTCTATGGGGACTGACTCACTGCAGGAGACAGACTCTAGTGGACACTGGAGGAACTGCAGCTGTAAAGTTAGACATTTTAACATGGGGCTCTATGGGGACTGACTCACTGCAGGAGACAGACTCTAGTGGACACTGGAGAACTGCAGCTGTAAAGTTGGACATTTTAACATGGGGCTCTATGGGGACTGACTCACTGCAGGAGACAGACTCTAGTGGACACTGGAGGAACTGCAGCTGTAAAGTTAGACATTTTAACATAGAGCTCTATGGGACTGACTCACTGCAGGAGACAGACTCTAGTGGACAC